TGCACAGGAATGTGGGGGGTGGAGTGTGGTTGAAAGAGCGGAGCCCCCAAAGAGGCAGGTCTAGATCCTCAGTGTGGAGGAAGAAGCCTATTGTGTGGCTCCTCTTGACGACATTGGAAGCAGGGCAGCGGTTTGAGCCAGAAAGCAAGGGAGGGGGACAGGCAGGGAGAGGGACACGAGAAATTGAACAAGCCATTGTGGACAAAAGCCTCCTGGGGAGATGGAGTGAATTAGTTAACCGGGCAGATATGGGGGTCCAGGAGAAGTTAGACGCAAGTTAATTTACAGCGGAGCCCGTCCGCCTAGTGCCCATTTATCTGTTTGGGTGTAGGCCCGGGGAAAAAAGGTATCTGGCTGGATCCAGTTCTGAAGCAGACATAGATCAAGAGAGCACAGACATTTAGCAGAGTGACTGCATGACAGACCATAGATTCAGCTGGTCAGGAAGACACGTGAAGGCAGAGGGCCTGTGGAAGAACAGAAAGCAGAAGCTCGGGGCAAGTAAGTTCAAGTAAGGGAGCAGCTGAGAAAGGCTCTTCTTGGGATGAAAGTCCCTTCGGAGCCAGAACCCATAAGGCCCTGCTTTTCTGAATCCCCAGCAGGCTCCTGGCAGGGCAGGAAGCGGCTCCCTGAGGGAAGCCACTTTCCTGTAGCTTCTGCTTCCCCCACTTCCAAAGCAGCTCTTGGCCTGCACACCACACTGAGCCTCCCCATTCCTACTGCTGCTCGGGCCCCACTGGGCTGGGATGCACAGGTGTCCCGCCTCTGAGATGACAAGATGGGTTTCCTTGCTGGCAAGAAGGGTCAGCCTGACAAAAGCTAGTGTCTGACAGAGCCAACCACATCAGTGCAGCCCTGGGCAGTCCCCTTAGCTCACCTCTGGTTCTTGGGACGTGAGTTCTGTGGCGGATAGCCTGCTCATCTCCTGGCCAGGTGCCAGGTCAGGCTCATGGAGGTACTGGACAGCATGACTCTAGGACAGGTTTCCCGTCACACTAGTAGAAGGCCATTCATTCATTGTGATTCTGGTGGGCAGCTGGATTGGAGGCTGCCAAGAAGCCACAGACACCGAATACAGTTAGATGAGGAAGGCTCTCACTGCTCTGGTCCCAGGGCTGACGAGTCTGCCACAGGCCTGGCCATGTATGCCCAGCCTAGGTGGGCAAGTGAGCTGGGGTGCATGGCCATCTATCTCCCTGTCCAGTAGACAGCATCCATCCCCCTAACACAGGGATGAGGACCTTGGAGGAGGGAGGAAGAGGCTAAGGCTGAACCCCTCCGATCAAGCTCCTGATGATCAGTGGGGGAAGCAGAGGGAAGTCTTGCTGGGCTCAGAGTGCTCCCCTCCCAGTGTCCTCCCTGGGAGGCCTTTCTGCCTGGGCCTGAGTCTGGGTGGGGCTGGGAGAGGGCGTGGTCAAGGCTCCTTGCCATCTAGAAGAGGCTGGATAGAAATAGCTGTGCCCATCTGGGCGATGAGTCACTGAGGGGCGTTTTAGCTGTTTCTTGGAGAGGTTCTATTTTAGGTGAATGCCTGTGACAGCCTGGGTGACAGAGGCTGGGTAAGGGAAGGTTCTGGTGGTGAGTGCAGGAGTTTTAGCACATGCCCTTATTCAACCCTGTCCAGAACCTGAAGGAGGGTCACTCTGAAGTCCCAGGATAAGGAGTTTTACATTCCAGACTCCTCTTGTCACAAGTCCCACCTCAAGGCATGCTATACCTGTGCAAGCGCACAGTGGAAATGGAGCCTGGGGTGTGCACTGGGCACCCACCCCAGGAAGTGGGTCTGTGACAGCTGCCCTGGGCCAGGGCCTGGGGCTCCCCTCAGAAGGCTAATCCCCTCCGGGGGACCATCTGAGGGTGAGCAGAAATAGCCTGCCCCTGGGAGCTCCCATTTTGATGGGAAGTGAGCCCTCCCCACCCAAGAGTAACTTTCTAAAGTGTCTTTGGACTGAGTCCCAGAGACCCAAATTGTTTCCTCTGAGGCTCTCTCTGTCCAAAAGTAGACAAAGCTCCCTTGGGTCTTCAAAAATACTTAGGGTGAGTTGACAGTTCCCATCTGGGGGGGGATGGCTTCACACCCCAGTGCTGTGGCATCACTGTTCTTAGGGTTTCTGGAACTGGGCTTGGCCTTTGAGGGCTCTGCCAGTGTTTTGCAGAGGGGACTTCTAAACCCATGACTTGACCTGCATGAGGTTGAGTGGCCTTTGGAAGAGGCAGGAATGCAGAAGGCACCAGACTCCAGGCCATAGCTCAGGAGCTGGGCTGGGCTGGCAGGGCTGGTCTCACCCACAACACCACTTCCTGGCTGGGTAACCACAAGAGTATGTGGTTAAATTAGATCAGACCTTGATTTTCTCTACTGTGAAAACTAAATGACAATGTGAACTGTGAACATGCCCTGTGTGGTCCTGGGCACAAGGGGGTGCTCACCAAAGTGCAGTGTTCCCCACTCCTTGGATGCTGCTTTTGGCCTGCTAGGCAAGACAGCCAGACCCAAGCTCTCCAGCTGGCAAGTCAGCTAAAGCAGCAGCTGCATAGCCCTGTGGCCTCAAGGAAGAGAGCAGGACTGGAGGTACTCCTAAGGGTGGACAGAAAGGGCTTTTTGCCTCAGGAACTGGATTGGACCTTTCCCTGGTAACTGGGCCACCATGGTGCTTTCAAAGGCTCTGGCTACAAGCACAGATGGAGCAGCCTTGGCCTGCAGCCTCAGCTCTGGTTGGAGAGGAGGAGCCTCTTCACCGGGCACCAAATCTCCAGTCTCATGGCTTTGGCTTTGTGGGAACTGTGCCCCCCGCCCCCTGTTAATAGGTTGTTGGGATTAATCCCACAAGAAGTCTCTCTGGAATGAGCCCTGTTCTGTACTACACACTGTGCACAGTCCTGAGAACACCTCAACCAGAACTCACAAGCTAGGTGGGGAGAAAGGAGACACCCAAGGAAACAAATTTGTAGATACTTCGGGAAAGAGTAAGCACTGTGAAGAAGATGAAGTGGGTGATTCGATACAGAGTGTCTGGTGGGGGAGGCGTATGTTAGATTGTGTGGCCAGAGAGGGCCCTGATGGGGAGATCTGAGGCCTATATAGCTAGCTGGTCTGGGGGCAGAGAAAATTGTGAGGGCTGAGGCCCTGGTTACAGAAGTGAGCTTAGGGGACTACTTGGCAGAACAGGAGGCCCAGAATCTCTGGGGTAAGACCACTAAGGGGGGATGGCAAGGAAGGAGGCCAGAGAGAGGAATGCGCTGGAGTAGATTGTGGGATCTTATGGGCCCTGGTGAGTTCCCATGGCACACATGATGGGAATCCACTAAGGGATTTGAGCCTGTAATTGATAGGCTCTGGTTTGTATGTAGATTTTTTGAGAGAAAAATATTATTGGCTCATGCACCTGGAAGTCCAAGGGCAGACTTAAGGTATAGCTGAAGCCAGGGAATTAAATGAACTCATCAGATCTGCTCCTCTCTCCTTACCTTGGTCCGCTTCTGACTGTCTATTGATGTTATCCTTAGCATCTCGCTGCATGTGGGGAAAGAGGGCTGCTGGCCACTCTAAGGCTACCTTTCTCTATGAGTAATTCCAAAGGAAAAAAGCCCCTCTTTCTTCTATTGTTCATTTACCAAGGGCTCTGATCAGCCCTGTTTGCAAGGTCACATACCTGTCCCTGCGCCCCTTGCTGAAACCAGTGATTGGCCCAACCTGAGTCATGCGCTCACTTTATTCAGGGAAGGGGTTGATGCAGAGAGAAACTACATGTCCATCACATAAATTTTTTTTTTTTCAACGTTTATTTATTTTGGGGACAGAGAGAGACAGAGCATGAACGGGGGAGGGGCAGAGAGAGAGACACAGAATCGGAAACAGGCTCCAGGCTCTGAGCCATCAGCCCAGAGCCCGACGCGGGGCTCGAACTCACGGACCGCGAGATCGTGACCTGGCTGAAGTCGGCCGCTTAACCGACTGCGCCACCCAGGCGCCCCTGTCCATCACATAAATAGCAGCACACGATTTTTTGTTTTGGAGGCACAGATTATCCCATTTTCTTAAAAAATGTGTCTTGCTTAAGGAAACTTTTTCATTCTACTTACATCATCACTTACATTGCATTATTTTGCTCTCAAGATTGTTCATGTATATCTTGTGTCCTCAGCTAGACTCTAAGCTCCTCCAGGACAGGGAGGAAATTAAAAAAAAAACAAACACGTTTATTTCTGAAAGAGAGAGAGAGAGAGAGAGAGAGAGAGAGAGAGAGAGAGGCCAAGCATGAGCCAGGGAGGGGCAGAGAGAGAGGGAGACACAGAATCCGAAGTAGGTTCCAGGCTCTGAGCTGTCAGTGCAGAGCCTGACGTGGGGCTCAAATTCATGAGCTATGAGATCATGGCCTGAGCTGAAGTTGGACATTTAACTGACTGGGCCACCCAGGTGCCCCGGTTTCTTTTCTTTTCTATGCCTCCCTCTCCCTCCTGTTACTTTTCACTTATTTATTCATTCTGCAAGTTTTTAATTGAATATCTATTGCATACCAGGCACTGTACTAAGGCCATCCTTTTCTTCCTGGTTTAAAAGATCACTCTGGCTGCTGTCTGGAAATGGCCCAAAACAGGCAGCAGGGGAAAGAGAGTGACCAATTGGAGGCTTTTGGGGTCATTGGTGAGGCAGGGCATGGAGATGGAATAATGTACACAGATCAGAGGTACAGCCAGTGGGTGGTGGGGAAGACTCTTGAGCAGGAGGGCCTGGCAGGCAGCAGATTGGTGGTTGGGGGGTGGGGAGTGTGTGTGACTGCCCCTGTTCTGCTCCAGGCAGCTGGCAGCTCCCAGAGGTCAGGGCAGGTGCCATCAGCCCCTTCAGCTTTGCCTCCTGGCAGCCCAGAAACACCTGAGTGGTGCTTGCTGCTCCTGCCTATGCTTGGAGCTGGCCCTGGCTGCTGGGGGGCCTGCAGCGACCTGAGCTATGGGCACTGTCAGTCCCAACCACCCCGATGACCATGATACTTCCTCCTCAGGTGAAGGAGTGGCTCTGTCTGAACTGCCAGATGCAGAGGGCTCTGGGGATGGACATGACCACTGCGCCTCGCTCCAAGAGCCAGCAGCAACTGCACTCCCCGGCCCTGTCTCCTGCCCAGTCCCCAGCCAAACAGCCCCTGGGGAAGCCGGAGCAAGAGAGATCGCAGGGCCCAGGGGCACCACAGCCAGGCCTCCGCCAGGCTGAGACAGCCAGGGCCACCTCAGTGCCGGGGTCTGCCCAAGCAGCTGCCCCTCCAGAGGTGGGGAGGGCGTCTCCTCAGCCTCCTCTCCCCATCAAGCCTTCCACAGCGGATCCCAGGCCACCTGCAGGAGAGGCCCTGGCCAAAAGTGCCACCACAGTGCCCTCTGGGCCTGGTGCTGCTGAGCAGACCCAGGAGGGCCTCACTGGGAAGCTCTTTGGCCTTGGAGCATCACTGCTGACCCAGGCGAGTACCCTCATGTCTGTGCAGCCCGAGGCTGAGCCCCAGGGCCAAGTGGCTGCCAGCAAAGGGCCACCTAAGATTGTCTTCAGTGATGCCAGCAAGGAGGCTGGCCCAAGACCCCCAGGCTCAGGACCTGGGCCTGGGCAAGCACCTGGAGCCAAAACTGAGCCTGGAGCCAGACCAGGTCCTGGATCGGGGCCTGGAGCCCTGGCAAGAACTGGGGGAACAACCAGTCCAAAACATGGCAGAGTGGAACACCAGGCAGCGACCAAGGCTACTGCCAAGCCAAAGACCACGCCGAAGGAAAGGGCCACTTGCCCACTGTGCCAAGCTGAGCTCAACGTGGGCAGCAAGGGCCCAGCCAACTATAACACCTGCACCACCTGCAAGCTCCAGGTGTGCAACCTGTGTGGCTTCAACCCAACGCCCCACCTGGTAGAGGTAAGAGAGCTGGACCAAGACCTGGAGTAATGGGGGGCCTGGGAGGCATGGGAGCCAGAAAGGGCTACAGAGAGCCAGGTCTTCAGCACTTGTGGGGCCCCTACACAGGTACAGAGGGGCTGTACTCCCTTTTCTATCCCTGCCCCAGGTTTGTTGTTCTTCTCAGAAAACTAACTGGCACAGCGGATGGGGTAATGGTGCCCGCTGCCTCTGACTGGCTAACCGGTGCCCTGAGGCCAGTCCTAGAGGTAGCTAGGCTCAGAGCACCCTGAACTGGCCTCCTCATTCCCAGCTATCCTGGGCATGGCCTGGATGGAAGATGCCAACCTCCCCTGCTCAGGTGGGAAGAACCTGAGGTCCCACCCTGCCCTCCGTCTATGACCCACACAGGGGGTTGAAGGGCTGTGAGGCACAGGGCTATGCCCCATTGCCCCAGGCTCCAGCCAGGTGGTATCCTCCCTCCATCCCCTCTTCTGAGGTCATGGGTATTGACGTCTACTTGTCAGAGCTAGTCTTTGGGCCACATATTTTCCTTTGGCTGGGCCTAGTTCTTCCTGGGGCTTCATGTGGGGATGCTCAGGGATGTTCTTTTTACCCCTAGGGAAGTTTGAGAGAGTTCTGGGGTTAGGGCCTATCTCTCTGCATCCTTGCTCCAGGGAAGGGTTCTGGGTGCTGTGCAGAGCTGGATAGAAAAGAATAGGAGGCCCAGTGTTCTCTCAAAGCTTGGAGCCCACCTGGCAGGCTCAGAAGATACAGAGGTACCTGGGCAGAGTTGGATGAGCCTGGGCCTGGAGGCTGCTTCTGCTCCTCCCCTTACTCACTCTGCCCTGCCCACAGGGCCATCCATGTGAAGCCTACCTTGGCTGCCTTGGGCATAGCTGGTGTGTCCCATTCCCTTAAATGCCCTTAGGGTCAAGATGAATGATTGGCTCATCTTAACAGACAGATACACCCCCAGCTATGTCACATCAGGAGATGATCAAGCCAAAGCCCTTCCTCCTGGACACAGGCAGCCACCTGAGTCCTTGGGGATTCTAGGCAGAGCCATGCACGGTCAGTGGTGGGGCAGGGAGTCTCTGGCACCTTGTTCTGATTTGCTTTGAGTCAGACCTCCACTGGAGCAGCCCACTGTGGTAAAGAAGACTGCTTTGGCTGTCACAGGCCATATTTTCCAACATGCAGAAAGAGGCAGCTCTAAGCAAGAAAAGTGACCTCCTCACATGATGCCCATGTGGCCCTCGAGGCCCCATACTGCCACCTATCTCCTTAGATCCAAGGGCTCACTGGAGGACAGTTGGCCTGGCTGACTAGGGTGGGGAGGGGACACCAAGGGGCCACCAGAGAGCCAGAGGAGCTCCAGTCCAGAGACTACCAGGCACACACTGGCTGTCAGTTGAGTGGGGCACCCTGATCCTGAGGGACTGTGAGCCCTGTTGGACTACTGAGCTGGTGCAGCCTGGGGGACCCTTGTCCCTGAGAGACCTCCTGGCCCACATTTCCTCACTCAGCAAGACATGCACAGAGAGAAGGGGAAAACTGTCTCAGTTCAAGAGTGTAAATGTTCCTGACAACTCCTTCCAGCAGCCCCTGGGCCAGGCCAGAGGAAGTGCTGATTCTGCCCAAACATGTCTCAGTCACATGCTGACTCTTGGATGAGCATCTGGATTCTGATCCAAGCCTCTCCTTAGCCATTTGGTTGTCACCTTCCTGGGTTCCAGAGCTTCTGCTTCTTGATAGCCAACATTGCCCCCATGCCCTACCTCCTCCACGTCCTGCTGTCTCCATGTCCTGCCCCACTGCCACTTCCTTGGCCAGAACCACCCTTGTCACCATAGGATCTGATGGGTTCCATGGGCCTGACAGCAAACTTCTGGGTGTTTAGCGCCTCCCCACCCCGGGGCCTCTTGCTCCTAATAGCAGTCAGAGGGTAGCCCAGCTTCTCCAACTCCTTTCTCCTTATGGCTCTACTTATTAATGCAGCTGTCCCCAGAGGGGTCCTGGGGAATGTGTGAGTAGACAGCCATGATGCCCCCCTCCTGTGGTTCCTGGTACCACCGTTGCTTTTCTTCACTGTAACCAGGCCATGGACCGTCTTTGATCTCACCTCAGCAAATGGCTACTTGACATTTGGCGCAATTGTGTGCTTCCCTATGACCTACTTTGTGTGAGAGACCTACTGTCTCTCCCACATCTTGCTAACTGAGGTCAGCCCGCCAGGCTCAGGATAACTGTGTGTCTCTGTGTACAATGTGAGCCAGAGGGACCCTGTCTGCATGTAGGCCGGGGGCTTGAGGGAGGGATGGACCAGGGCAGTCCCACTGCCACTTCCCCACAGGCCTGTTAGACCTGCTGTGACTCCACCTAAGATGAGAGTCAACGGTCTGGGCTGCTAGGTTGGGGATTTTCCTCAACATCTTGGAGCTATAAAACCTTTTACCTTCTTCCTAGACAGGGAGTCCAGAGCAGACAATGAAGGAAGCCGTAAAACTAGATCCCTTTTTGCTCTGAAATTCCCTCTGAAAAAATAACCATAGTGCTATTTAGTGAGTCATTTCATAATTAAGAGTTGTTGATTCCAAATTTTTTTACCTATTTATCTTTTGAAGGATAATAGTACCCTCTGGCTTAATTTTTAATTGGCTTTCAGTTCAAAATAGAGTTTGTGAAGAAATTAGTGGAATTGGAAATGTTACAGTAACACCACCAGTTTCTGATCTTATTAGAATTGCCAAAATACCAGCCATACCCTTGAGAAGTTGGGCCTCCCTGGGGAAAGGGCCCGGCACCTGTGATATGCGGGGCTGGGCTGGGCTTATTTGGGGAAGGGGTTGCATCGGGGGCACCAAGTGAGAGGCCAGCAGCTGCCTCTGGCAATAGTGGTCTCAGGAAGCCCTGTCTCCTCCGTGTGGAATGGGGGTGATAGCACTCCCTCTTAGGTTTCTGGGAGAACTAGTTGAGATGCCATACTTCAGATACTTATGCAAGGTCCAACACACAGCCAGATTGGAACCAGCATGTCCTAACAGGGAGTCTCTATGCAGGGAAGAAAGAGTCTCCTCTGGCCCCCACCTATCTGAGTGTGAGTCCATCCTGTGGCCAGTGTAAGACCCTGGTCTCATGAAGGATGCCCCATGGGGAATGGACACATTTGGTACTGGAGCGTGAGGAGAGCACAACCCAGCCAGAAAGAAATATGTTGGGGATATCAGAGAGGATTCCTCTTATTGGAGGCAGAGGCCCAAAAAGGAGAAGCTTAAGGATGTCCAGAGACAGGATGGGGCAGGGTCATAGCATCAGGAGAACGGCAGCACCAGTGACAGCCATGCCTATAGTCCAGGGTCTGGCCATGCCTATTGGGCCCTTTATGTCCAGGCATCCTTTCTCTGAATTTCTCATCTACTGCCCCTGGTCTTGCAGTGAGGCTGGGGGTATGTTGGGCCCAGCAGCTGGCCATGGGCTGTTGGTCAGGCTGGTGTCACGTGATCAGACTGACACAGGCCAGCTCCACATACACAGAGATTGTGTTCTGCAGGGTCATTCAGACAATGGCAGGCAGTGCAAGAAGGATGCCCAACATGCATTGCAGCCTCGCTGGGCAACCTTGGCCCTTGAGGCACAGTAGCCAGTGATCCTGGAAGGCAGCAGGGCTCATCCACCCGTGGAGTACTCCACCAACTCACTTCCCCTTCTTCACCTTGACCCCATCTCCCACCATTAGGTGGTGCTTACCCTGGGGCATTCCTAGCTGCCCCCAGAAAGGAACTGGACAGAGGGAGGCAAGGCAGAAGTGGTCATCAAGTGTCCCACTGTCCATTCCTAAGTCCCAGACCATCCCCTGCCCACTTGCCAAGGGGTCAGGCAAAGGGGAAGAGAAAGTAGCAGCTCCCTGGGGCTGGCTGGGGGTGGGGTTGGGAGAGTACAAGAAAGGGTGTACAGGTAAATGAATGAATGAGGGAATAAACATGGATGAGTGAATGAACGAACAAGGGGAAAAATGGAATGAATGAGCAGGGGGCGGGGTGAGGGAGGGCATGCTGTCAGGGGGCAGAGATGAGAACTGAGTGAATAAAAGGGCGCCTGGGTGGCTCAGTCAGTTAAGCCAGCTTAGATCATGATCTTATGGTTGGTGGGTTTGAACCCTGCATCAGACTCTGTGCTGACAGCTCAGAGCCTGGAGATTGCTTCAGATTCTGTGACTCCCTCTCTTTCTCTGCCCCTCTCCTGCTCATGCTCTGTCTCCCTCTCTTAAGAAGAAATTTTTTTAAAAATTAAAAAAAAAACAAACAAAGAACTGAGTGAATAAAGAAATCAGGACCTGTGCTCCAGCCCTCAGGCATAGAACCTCCTCATGGCCAGCCTCCTACCCCATCCCCATTCTCCAGAAACTTAGGTCTGTGCCAAGTCTCCTCAGACTCCACCCGAACAGGCCCCAGTGCCCTGCACCCTTCTCCCCGCTCCCAGAGAGCTGGCAAAGGGCCTCCAGCAGCCAGGTCCAGTGTTTATTTTTAGCCCTTACCTCACATGCCTCCCCCTGCCTGCCTTCCCTCCCTCCCTGGCCGCCTGTTATAGCAGAGCCAGGAGCAAGAGGCCCAGCTGGGCAGCCCATTCTGCAGCCTGGCTGTCTCTGTGAATAAGCGTGGGAAGGAACAAAACCCTGTGGAGCATGTGACCACAGGTGACATGCTCTGCTGAGGGCTGGGCCTCTGGGCTCAGGTAAGCAGGCTGCCACACAGGCTGGCTTTGAACACTTGGCATTAGGTCTGCCTCCTCCATCCAGAGAATCTTTCCAAGGTGCCCTTCACTGTCACTGCTTCACTGGGACTGTTGCTTCTGGGGTGGGGTCTGCAGGCCAGAGGCAGGGGTCAGAGGTTTGCCAAGCCCCTAAGGTGAGCCAGGGCAGGTGATCTGACCTCGAGAGGCCTAAGCTGGAATGGCTGTGTGCAGGGTCCCAAAGTGGAGCCAGAACAGTGTTGCCATAGGCCAGCCCCCGGTCTGGGCCCAGATCCTAACCCCATCATGCTGATCCTGGGGTCTTTTCTCATTTCCAAAACTCTCTTGGCCTCTGCCTACACCCCTCTTATGTCTCCAGGGTCTTTTTGTCATTTCATAATCCTCTTTGAGGTGGGGGGATTTCCACTGTGTCCCTAGGTGATGTTAGAGGCATTGGGGGCTCGGCTCAGGCTGAGCATCTGTGCTCTTCCGTGCCCCATCTCAGGGCTTGAGCTCAGCCTGCCTAGCATTCTCCCCAGGCACCTCTAGGGGTGACTAAGCCAAGTGAGCCCAAGACCCAACAAGTAGCCAGCACCCATTGCTTCATAGGGGTTTGTGTCAGGAGTGCATAGAGGACCAGATAAGGTCAAAGGGAGTTAGTCGTGGTGCTAGGGCCAGGGAATAGGGTGAGTAGATGTAGGACCTCTGAAGGGTCACCCTCCATAGCTGGGCCCCTCTGCTTAGGGGCTGTGTGTAGGATTGGGCCTCAGGGCAGAGTCAGAGCTCCAGTCTCAGCAATCTCAAGGCTCTGAGTAACAAGCCTGTGGATCGGGCCTATCCTTAACACACACCAAGGGCCTGCCACCTGCCTGGTCTGGCCTCTGCTGGCGCCCAGGGCAGAGATGTGGTATGTAGCCCTGCAGGCAGGAAACCAGGGCAGAATCATTGATATGGCATCTGCCATGGTGGCCTGAGGATACCAGGCTGAGGGCAGGCCCTCTGGGGGTACTGTGGGAGTACAGATCCAAGGATCTGCCACATGTGCTAGGGTCTGACCTGGGCACAGGGCAGTGTATGAAGTAAGGGTGCTGAGGCTGCCAGCCCACTTTAGGCTGGCGAGGGCCACAGGCTACCTCCTTGCCCTGTCTTCTGGCTCTGTGATCCTGTGGTTCTGGGTCTTGTGGTTCTCCTAATGGCCCATCCTAGTGGCCAAGCTGCTAGTGGGAGTCTGAGTGTCTGGGCACCTGAGAGGACCAGCAGCAGGAGGGTCAGAGTACCAAGGCTCTTCCCCCTCCTCCAGGGTGAGAGCAGACATAAGTGTGTGGTTATCCTCTTTTCCGCCTCACTCTGTGGGCCAGGGTGGGGCTTCCAGTCTTGCCAAGGAAGAGCCCTGACTCTGGAGGAAGTTCCTGGGAGACACGCCCCTGTCAGCCTCTGACCTGCTGCAGGAATCACCCATGCAGGGCCTGGGATGTTCAGACCTCACTCCTGTGCAGACAGCTGGAGCTGGGGAAGTAGACTTGGTTTCTGGTGTTCTAGGAACTTTGCCACTGATATCCACGTCATACTTGGATGACCAGTTTGGGGCTGTGGTCTCCAGGAAAGCTACATGCCAGCCCCTGTGTCTGTCTTAATCATGGCTGTGTCTCCAGTCCCCAGCACTGAACCTGACAGAGGGGATTACCCTGAGAGTAGTGGACTGACGGTTGAGTGTTTGTTCCCCACCCAGATCTGTAGGAAGCAGGGCCCTTGGTCTAAGTGCCGGCACACACAGTCCCCATCGGAACAGTCCAGAGCCCTGGGGGCAGGAGGAGGCTTCCACCTGAGGGTCTTTGCTGGCCTTGGACAAGGTGACTTGGGCTGGGGGGTATAAGCAGAGGGGACTGCTTGGCCCCATCCTCCCAGCAGGGCTTCTTTCAGATGCCTCCCCTGGCCCCAGGAGCCTGTGGCCTCCCAGCACAGCCCTTACTTGGGAAGAGTGTGGGGAGGATGGTGTCTGAGGCCTGAGGGCTAGGAGGCCAGGGAGGAGCTGGGCACCTAGGAGGCGCTCCCTGTCTGAGGCTACTCCTGGTTTGCATGGGCTCTGGACTGATGGACTCCACACCAACTCCCCCTCTTCTCCAGACTCATGTGCTACCTGTAGCCTCCCCTCCCCTGCAGGTCTCCTCCTTTTCTTGCCAGGTGAAAAAGCTCTCTACAGGGTAACGAAGAGATCCTTCTTTTTGGTTTATCATTTGAACTCTGAAGGATGGGGAAGTCTGTCATTTGGGGGCAACAAATCTATTAGTCATTTTCTCCTTGTGCCTTTGGGGTCATGCTTTAGAAAACTTTCTCCTGCTTACACTTACAGAAATAGTCATAGAAATACTCTGAGTATTTCAGTGTCTTTTTGATTTTCATCAACCCCCTCCCTTCCCATTTCCTTACAGAAAACCGAGTGGCTCTGTCTCAACTGCCAAACTAAGCGGCTACTAGAGGGCAGCCTGGGAGAGCCGACCCCCCTGCCGCTGCCCACCTCACAGCAGCCCCCCTCGGGGGCCCCTCTCCGTGCAGCTGGAGCAGCCCCTCTGAAGCAGAAAGGGCCACAGGGGCTGGGCCAGCCATCGGGCTCCCTGCCTGCCAAGGCCAGTCCCCTGCCCACCAAGGCCAGCCCCCAGGCCAAGCCCCTCAAGGCTTCTGAACCTAGCAGGACCCTGAGTAGTGCCCAGGAAAAGAAGACAGGAATCCCAGCTAAAACCGAGCCTGGGCCGAAACCACCTCCGGAGACTACCCTGCCCCCTGGGACTCCTAAAGCAAAGATGGGGACCCGGAGGACTGAACCTGCCACGCCTGTCGTCAAGGCTGTTCCAGAAGCCCCCAAGGGTGGGGAGGCAGAGGTCAGTCCCATTCACTTCCCAGGGACCTTAGCTCTCAGGTGGGATGGTCTAGAGAAGGGCTTGGTTCCTGGAGCAGGTCCCTTGGGGCCACAGAGGTGGTAAGGGATGCCTGGATGAGACCCTAGTGGGCCTGGAGCCTATGAGTTATAGGCTGGTCCTATGTCTGGCACTTGTTTGAATGCTTGGGTGGATTTTGCTACCATTAGATCTAATAAAGCTTCTCTTTGAGAATCTAGGGCTGCTTGGGGTTTTTAAGGCCAGAGAAATGGAAGGTGGTGGGCCCTCCCCTGGGAGGTGGAGGACCCCTTCCTCAGGGCCCTGGGATTGACAGAGAGGGCTGGGCTTCTCCAGTGAGCTGTCTGCCATGGGGAGTCAGTGTCTGCTTCTCACCCTGCTGCAGGAGCTGGCAGGCAAGCCTTATTCTCAGGACCTGTCTCGGAGCCCACAGAGCCTCAGTGACACAGGCTATTCGTCCGACGGCATCTCCAGCTCCCAGAGCGAGATCACAGGCGTTGTACAGCAGGAGGTAGAGCAGCTGGACAGCGCTGGGGTGACAGGGCCTCGCCCGCCCAGCCCCTCCGAGCTCCACAAGGTGGGGAGCAGCCTGCGGCCTTCGCTGGAGGCCCAGGGCCCAGCGCCCAGGGGCGAGCAGAGCAAGCCACCCAGGAGCAGTGGTGAGGAGCAGAAACGGAGGCCCCACTCCTTGTCCATCATGCCTGAGGCCTATGACTCCGATGAGGAACTGGAGGATATCTTGGAGGAGGAGGAAGACTCTCTGGAGTGGGGGCGCCAGAGGGAGCAGCAGGACACAGCCGAGTCATCAGATGACTTTGGCAGCCAGTTGAGGCACGACTACGTGGAGGACAGCAGTGAGGGTGGCCTGTCCCCTCTCCCACCCCAGCCCCCAGCCCGGGCAGCAGAACTGACCGATGAGGAGTTCATGCGACGACAGATACTGGAGATGAGCGCTGAAGAAGACAACCTGGAAGAGGATGACGTTGCCCCCTCTGGGCATGGCCTGGCCAAACATGGCACCCAGAAGGGTGGCCCCAGGCCCCGGCCTGAGCCCAGCCAAGACCCAGCAGTGCTGCCCAAGAGACGTCTGCCACATAACGCCACCACAGGCTACGAGGAGCTGCTCTCTGAGGGAGGCCCAGCCGAGGCCAGCGATGGCACTGGGGCCCTACAGGGGGGGCTCCGCCGCTTCAAGACCATTGAGCTTAATAGCACGGGCAGCTATGGCCATGAGCTGGACCTGGGCCAAGGTCCTGACCCCAGCCTGGAGCGGGAGCCGGAGCTGGAAATGGAGAGCCTGACAGGCTCGCCAGAGGACCGCTCCCGTGGGGAACACTCCTCCACACTGCCTGCCTCCACACCCAGCTACACTTCGGGCACCTCTCCCACCTCCCTGTCCTCCCTGGAGGAGGACAGCGATAGCAGCCCCAGCCGCCGGCAGCGACTAGAAGAAGCAAAGCAGCAGCGCAAGGCTCGGCACCGCTCACATGGGCCCCTGCTGCCCACCATCGAGGACTCCTCGGAGGAGGAGGAGCTGCGGGAGGAGGAGGAGCTGCTACGGGAGCAGGAGAAGATGCGGGAGGTGGAACAGCAGCGTATCCGCAGCACGGCCCGCAAGACACGGCGAGACAAGGAAGAACTGCGGGCCCAGCGGCGGCGCGAGCGCTCCAAGACCCCCCCGAGCAACCTGTCCCCCATCGAGGATGCCTCCCCGACTGAGGAGCTGAGGCAGGCAGCTGAGATGGAGGAGCTCCATCGCTCCTCCTGCTCCGAGTACTCGCCCTCCCCTTCCCTTGACTCGGAGGCTGAAGCCCTGGATGGCGGCCCCACCCGGCTCTACAAGTCAGGCAGTGAGTATAACCTGCCCACCTTCATGTCCCTCTACTCGCCAACTGAGACGCCCTCAGGCAGCTCCACCACTCCCAGCTCCAGCCGGCCCCTGAAGAGCGCAGAGGAGGCCTATGAGGAGATGATGCGCAAGGCCGAGCTGCTCCAGCGGCAACAGGGCCAGGTGGCAGGTGGCCCCTCTCAGCCCACTGGTACCCGGAGCCAGTGTGCCTTTGAGTACCAGGACACCCCCGACCAGGACTATGGCAGGGCTGCACAGCCTGCCCCTGAGGGCACACCGGCCAGCCTGGGGACAGCCGTGTATGAGGAGATCCTTCAGACATCACAGAGCATTGCCCGCATGCGGCAGGCCTCCTCCCGGGACTTGGCCTTTGCGGAGGACAAGAAGAAGGAGAAGCAGTTTCTGAATGCCGACAGTGCGTACATGGACCCAATGAAGCAAAATGGCGGCCCACTCACCCCTGGTACCAGTCCCACCCAGCTGGCTGCCCCTGTGTCCTTCTCCACCTCCACCTCCTCAGATAGCAGTGGTGGCCGAGTCATTCCTGATGTCCGTGTTACTCAGCATTTTGCAAAGGAGCCTCAGGACCCCCTCAAGCTTCACAGCTCTCCTGCCTCCCCCAGCTCTGCCTCCAAGGAGGTAGGCATATCCTTTTCCCAGGGCCCTGGCACCCCAGCCACCACAGCTGTGGCTCCTTGTCCAGCCAGCCTGTCACGAGGTTATATGACTCCAACCTCCCCAGCAGGCTCTGAGCGCAGCCCTTCACCGTCTGCTGTAGGCCACAGCTATGGACAGAGCCCAGCCACTGCGAACTACGGGTCCCAAACTGAGGAGATACCCCAGGCCCTCAGTGGCGCCACTGCCAGTGGACGGGCTGCCAGAGACAAGCCCCTGAGTGTGAGTGATGGTGAGAGCGGCCCCCACAAGGCCTCCCGGGGGTATTCCTACTTCGCAGGCTCCAGCCCACCTCTCTCTCCATCTTCTCCTTCAGAGAGTCCCACATTCTCCCCTGGCAAGCTGGGCCCAAGGGCCACAGCCGAGTTCTCTACACAGACGCCAAGCCCGACCCCTGCCTCGGACATGCCTCGGAGCCCTGGTGCCCCGACCCCAACACCCATGGTGGCTCAGGGCACACAAACGCCACACCGGCCCAGCACACCTCGCCTGGTGTGGCAGCAGCCCTCTCAGGAGGCCCCTTTCATGGTCATCACTCTGGCATCAGATGCCTCCAGCCAGACCAGGATGGTACATGCCAGTGCCTCCACCTCCCCAGTGTGTTCACCCACTGACACCCAGCCCACCACCCACAGCTATAGCCAGACAACACCTCCGAGTATGTCCCAGCTGCCCCCAGAGCCACCTGGGCCACCTGGCTTCCCGCGGGCACCCAGTGCTGGCACGGATGGGCCCCTGGCAGTCTATGGCTGGGGCGCCCTCCCTGCTGAGAACATCTCCCTGTGCCGGATCTCCTCTGTCCCTGGAACGTCTAGGGTGGAGCCAGGCCCTAGGCCTCCAGGCAGTGCCGTGGTAGACCTTCGCACAGCTGTCAAGCCTACTCCTATCATCCTTACTGACCAGGGCATGGACCTGACCTCTCTTGCCGTGGAAGCGAGGAAGTACGGCCTTGCCCTGGATCCAATCCCAGGACGGCAGTCGACTGCTGTACAGCCTTTGGTCATCAACCTCAATGCCCAGGAGCAGACCCATGCCTTCCTCAGCACCGCCACCACCGTGAGCATCACCATGGCCTCATCTGTGCTCATGGCTCAGCAAAAGCAGCCTGTGGTCTATGGAGACCCCTTCCAGAGCCGGCTTGACTTTGGTCAGGGTGCGGGTAGCCCTGTGTGCCTGGCCCAGGTCAAGCAGGTAGAGCAGGCCGTCCAGACAGCCCCATACCGAGGTGGGCCCCGTGGAAGACCTAGGGAGACCAAGTTTGCCAGGTATAACCTGCCCAACCAGGTAGCACCTCTGGCCAGAAGGGACGTTTTAATCACTCAGATGGGCAGTGCCCAGAGTGTTGGCCTCAAATCGGGCCCAGTGGCAGAGCCTGGTGCCGAACCCCACCGGGCTGCCCCTGCAGAGCTGCGGTCACACGCTGCTCCAGGTGCCAGGAAGCCACACACAGTGGTGGTGCAGATGGGAGAGGGCACAGCAGGCACTGTGACCACACTGCTCCCAGAGGAACCTGCAGGTGCCCTGGACCTCACTGGGATGAGGCCTGAGAGCCAGATGGCATGCTGTGACATGGTCTACAAGTTCCCCTTTGGCAGTAGCTGCACAGGCACCTTCCACCCCACCCCCAGCGCTCCTGAGAAGAGTGTGTCAGACGTTGCCCTACCTGGCCAGAGCAGCGGCCCCTTTTACAGTCCCCGGGACCCTGAGCCTCCTGAACCCCCCACCTACCGGGCACAGGGGGTAGTGGGGCCTGGGCCCCACGAGGAGCAGAGGCCCTACCCACAGGGCCTCCACGGCAGGCTATACTCCTCCATGTCTGACACCAATTTGGCAGAGGCTAGCCTCAACTACCATGCCCACAGGATTGGGCAGCTCTTCCAGGGCCCTGGACGAGACTCAGCTGTGGATCTCAGCTCGCTGAAGCATTCCTACAGCCTGGGCTTTGTGGATGGACGCTACCTTGGGCAGGGCTTGCAGTATGGCTCGTACACAGACCTGCGTCACCCCACAGACGTTTTGACTCACCCAGTTCCCATGAGGCGCTACAGTTCAGTGTCAAACATCTACTCAGACCACAGGTATGGCCCACGGGGAGATGCAGCTGGCTTCCAGGAGGCCAGTCTGGCCCAGTACAGTGCCACCACTGCCCGTGAGATCAGCCGCATGTGTGCAGCCCTCAACTCCATGGACCAGTATGGAGGGCGGCATGGCAGTGGTGGTGGTGGCCCTGACCTCATGCAGTATCAGCCCCAGCCCGGGCCTGGGCTCAGCGCTCCCCAGGGTCTGGCTCCCCTCAGACCTGGCCTCCTTGGGAACCCCACCTTCCCAGAGGGCCACCCAAGTCCTGGGAACCTGGCCCAGTACAGGCCTACGGTAGGCCAGGGAACAGCAGTCAGACAGCTGCTGCCATCCACAGCCACCGTGCGTGCAGCCGACGGCATGATCTACTCTACTATCAACACTCCAATTGCTGCAACACTGCCCATAACCACCCAGCCCGCCTCAGTACTGCGGCCCATGGTGCGCCGTGGCATGTACAGGCCTTACGTGTCGGGTGGGGTCACAGCTGTGCCGCTCACCAGCCTGACACGCATGCCCGTGATTGCCCCCCGGATACCTCTTGGGCCCACAGGGCTGTACCGATATCCTGCACCAAGTAGATTCCCCGCTGCTTCCAGCATTCCACCTGCTGAGGGTCCTGTGTACCTGGGGAAACCTGCTGCTGCTAAGGCCCCAGGGGCTGGGGGCCCACCAAGGCCAGAGCTGCCAACAGGGGCAGCTCGGGAAGAGCCTCTTTCCACAGCCACCCCTGCTGCCGCCAAAGAGGCTGTAGCAGCCCCACCCCCAGCCCCAGCCCCTCTGGCCAGCCAGAAGCCGCAGGTAGATGCTGCTCCCGGGGGCGGCAGCGGGGCCCTCAGCCGGCCAGGGCTGGAGAAGGAGGAAGCTGCGCAGGAGGAGCGACAGCGGAAACAGCAGGAGCAGCTGCTGCAGCTGGAGCGGGAGCGGGTGGAGTTGGAGAAGCTGCGGCAACTGCGGCTGCAGGAGGAGCTGGAGCGGGAGCGGGTGGAGCTGCAGCGGCACCGTGAGGAAGAGCAGCTCCTGGTGCAGCGGGAGCTGCAGGAGCTGCAGACCATTAAGCACCATGTGCTGCAGCAGCAACAGGAGGAACGGCAGGCCCAGTTCGCCCTGCAGAGGGAGCAGCTGGCACAGCAGCGTCTGCAGCTGGAGCAGATCCAGCAGCTGCAGCAGCAGCTGCAGCAGCAGCTAGAGGAACAGAAGCAGCGGCAGAAGACCCCCTTCCCCGTGGCCTGCGAGGCACCTGGCCGAGGGCCTCCCCCAGCTGCCACGGAGCTGGCTCAGAATGGCCAGTACTGGCCACCCCTGACCCACACAGCCTTCATCGCCGTGGCAGGGCCGGAGGGGCCTGGGCAGCCTCGGGAGCCCGGGCTGCATCGGGGCCTCCCTAGCTCTGCCTCGGACATGTCACTGCAGACAGAGGAGCCGTGGGAGGCAGGCCGCAGCGGCCTCAAGAAGCGGCACTCTATGCCTCGCCTGCGGGACGCCTGCGAGCCAGAGTCAGGGCCCGAGCCCTGCGCGGTCAGGAGGATTGCAGACAGCAGCGTGCAGACAGACGAGGAGGATGGGGAGGGCCGCTACCTCCTGAGCCGGCGGCGCCGGGTGCGGCGGAGTGCGGACTGCAGCGTGCAGACTGATGACGAGGACAGTGCCGAGTGGGAGCAGCCGGTGCGCCGCCGCCGGTCCCGGCTTTCCCGCCACTCGGATTCCGGCTCTGACAGCAAGCATGATGCTGCCGCCTCATCGTCCCCTGCAACCGCTGCTGCGAGGGCCACGAGCAGCGTGGGCATCCAGACCATCAGTGACTGCTCTGTGCAGACGGAGCCTGACCAGCTGCCCAGAGTCTCTCCAGCCATCCACATCACAGCCGCTACTGACCCCAAGGTGGAGATCGTCAGGTACATCTCGGCGCCAGAGAAGACTGGACGCGGGGAGAGCCTGGCCTGCCAGACAGAGCCCGAGGGGCAGGCCCAGGGTGTGGTTGGGCCGCAGCTTGTAGGGCCAACTGCCATCAGCCCCTACCTGCCTGGCATCCAGATCGTCACCCCAGGGCCCCTCGGCAGATTCGAAAAAAAGAAGCCAGATCCCCTGGAGATTGGATACCAGGCCCAGCTGCCCCCGGAGTCCCTGTCACAGCTCGTGAGCCGCCAGCCTCCCAAGTCCCCCCAGGTCCTCTACTCACCGGTCTCACCCCTGTCCCCACACCGGCTCCTGGACACCTCCTTTGCTTCCAGTGAGAGGCTGAACAAGGCTCACGTGAGTCCCCAGAAGCACTTCACGGCTGACAGCGCTCTCCGCCAGCAGACGCTGCCTCGCCCCATGAAGACCCTGCAGCGATCCTTGTCTGACCCTAAGCCCCTCAGCCCCACCGCCGAGGAGTCTACCAAAGAGAGGTTCTCCCTCTACCAGCACCAGGGGGGACTGGGTAGCCAGGTATGGGCACAGGGGCTGGTCCAGGGTGGGACAGGGGTCTCTGTCTAGCCTGGGGGCCCCACAGGGAGGGGTTTCTCCTGGGGTGGGGGTGGAGTCACCTCCAGCTCCAGAGGCCCAGAGGAAGGAGTTGAGGATGAGGATTGGATCTTCCTTGATGCACACCTGGTGGAGCCAGCAGCCTGGCAAGGACATCTGGGCAAATACAGACTCACACACTGGCCCCCACAGCCACCCATCCAGACACTGCTAGAAACTTCAGCCTCTCCTCAGCACTGCCTCTTCACAGCCCATATCTGGTCCAGTCCCTACCGTGTCCCCCCGCCAGTCTGGGCCTCTCCCATTCCAAACCTCTACCGTGGATGTTTCCTTAGAAAATCAGTAACATAGACCTGGCTGGGCTGCTCCCTACTCCCCATCCCTGGCCTGGCTTCCATGGCCCCACAGGAAGTCCAAGCCCCTTGGCCTAGCATTCAAGGTCCATCCCAGTGGGCTGCAGCATCTCTCGGTCTCATCTTGTCCCCTGTCATTATCTGGCCCTCAGTAAATCTGCTCCCTGTCTGCTCCCCTAGGCAGGGAGCCCTGGAACATCAATGTGCCCTTGCCTGTGGCTTTAGTTGCCAACGATATCCTGGGACTGGGCGAGGTGGCCTGCTGTGGGCTGCCATGCAAGGGAAGATAGGAGTTGCAGGGGCCTTCTGCCAAGGATTTTGAGTGTCAGGCTAAAGAGCACGGGCTTTTCTTGTAGGCCCTTGGAGCTTCTGGAGGTTTGGGGCAGGTGAGACAGACAAGATGGGTATTTTAGAAAGCTTCCTGGGCAGAATGTGGGTAGATAGGCTGAAGGGAAAGACTGCACAGTGGCCCTGGGGAAAGGGGTAGGAACCAGGTATGTTTTCTGGGCGTGATGCAGAGAGGAGAGGGTGAGGCCTCAAAGTGGGGTGGTGGAGGTGATGAGCTTGGGTAATGGAGAGCCCTGAGGTGTGCAGTCCAGAGAGCGTGGGGGTGGGATCAGGAGTCTAGGCTGGCAGGGAGTGCAGGCCAGAGAGGCAGGCCACCCTGGCTCCAGGCCGGGGTGGGCACAGAAGTTCCATGGGCCAGCAGTATGGTGCCATGCCATGATGAGCCCTCAAGGTGTGCAGCCAAAATAACAAAAGATGAACAATAGAATGAGGAGTTGAAAAAGCGAAATGTATTGTTAAAGGCCCACCCATTGTTCTGAGGCTCTGGGACACACTATCATTTTCTTCGTGACAGATGGTGAGTGTGGGTGGGAGGTTTTTATGTAGTTTCTTGGCAAGGTAAAACGCAAGAAGCCCAATGTCCGGGCCTAGTGTATTTTGGGGATTTGGGTGGTCCATAAAAGCCCAGAGTCCCAGGGCACTCTGGGAAGGCTAGGAACTAGAGACAAAGGACCCAAGGTAGACCTTCCATCACCATCCAGTGATGTGGACCTTCAGGTAATGTGAACGGCAGGTGAGGAGAACTGCGGAGAGGGCAGGGTTAGGGAGTCTGGACCAGGAAGCAACACAGCCAGAGACAGGTTGGAGAGGCCCTGCAGGGTAGCTGGTAGTCTCAGAGAGTGGTGGGCCAATAGGGATGTGGAGGGAGCTGGGGGCCAGGCCAAGAGCACAGTCCAGAGAGTTTGGCAGAGGGTGGTGTAGGGCAGCTGGGAGAAGAGGGTGGACCAGGCGGTTGAGCTGCATGTCACTTAAAACAGCTGTAGGACGGGGCAGGAAAAGACCCAGAGCCTGCAGTAACTGACAGCCTGTGCCCCTTCTCATGATCCTCTGGGGATCCTGGTGGGCACCCAGGGACCACTCCATTCCTGTCCATGGCCCTCTATTGCCCTGGTCCCCACCAGCTTCTAGACCTGAAACCAGAGCCAGACTGTACTGTCCTCACCTCAGGACACTCAGTGGGAGAGAGAGGGTGGCAAGCCCACTGGACATGGGCAGGGTCCTCAGGGCCACTGTATGCTAGAAGTTCTCAGAGGCAGGCTAGTCCTAGAGACCAGCACAGAGGGGCATCTGCTCCACCCCTCCCCTGCTGCCTGGAGTGCTGGGAGAGAGAAGGCCTGTAAAACGGTCACAGGCCAGTGATGATGTCCACTGGGGG